GAAATCGTTCTCCTTAAGATATTTTTTTTCAAATTGGAATTGTTAAAATGATATTGAAGTCAAATCATCATTCTCAGTGTGAATTTAAGAACTTTATTATTACATTATTACTATTTTAATTTCGTTGAAATTGTGTAATTAAGAAAGAGAAATTTTGAAAATTTCAAAGAAATACAGAGAAAAAGTTGTTAATTATCAATCATACTTGAAAATTAAGACTTTACTTATCTTTTGATACTTAAAACAAATAATCTTAAGCACAACTATGAAATCGTTCTCCTTAAGATATTTTTTTTCAATTGGAATTGTTAAAATGATTTTGAATCAAATCATCATTCTCAGTGTGAATTTAAGAACTTTATTATTACATTATTATATTTTAATTTCGTTGAAATTTTTGTAATTAAGAAAGAGAAATTTTGAAAATTTCAAAGAAATCAGAGAAAAAGTTGTTAATTATCAATCATACTTGAAATTTGAAGACTTTACTTATCTTTTGATACTTAAAACAAATAATCTTAACACAATTATGAAATCGTTCTTCTTCAGATATTTTTTTTTCATATTGGAATTGTTAAAATGATTTTGAAATCAAATCATCATTCTCAGTGTGAATTTAAGAACTTTATTATTACATTATTACTATTTTAATTTCGTTGAAATTACTTGTAATTAAGAAAGAGAAATTTTGAAAATTTCAAAGAAATACAGAGAAACAAGTTGTTAATTATCAATCATACTTGAAATTTGAAGATTTTACTTATCTTTTGATACTTAAAACAAATAATCTTAAGCACAATTATGAAATCGTTCTTCTTCAGATATTTTTTTTTCATATTGGAATTGTTAAAATGATTTTGAAATCAAATAATCATTCTCAGTGTGAATTTAAGAACTTTATTATTACATTATTACTATTTTAATTTCGTTGAAATTGCTTGTAATTAAGAAAGAGAAATTTTGAAAATTTCAAAGAAATACATAGAAAAAAGTTGTTAATTATCAATCATACTTGAAAATTCAAGACTTTACTTATCTTTTGATACTTAAAACAAATAATCTTAAGCACAACTATGAAATCGTTCTCCTTAAGATATTTTTTTCAAATTGGAATTGTTAAAATGATATTGAAGTCAAATCATCATTCTCAGTGTGAATTTAAGAACTTTATTATTACATTATTACTATTTTAATTTCGTTGAAATTACTTGTAATCAAGAAAGAGAAATTTTGAAAATATCAAAAACTTGTTATTTATGAATCACTATTGAAAATTGAAGATTTTACTTATCTTTTGTTACTTAAAACAAATAACTTTAAGCACAACTATCAATACATTCTTTTCAATTTTTTTTTCATATTGGAATTGTTCAAATGATATTGAATTTAAATCATCATTAGGAAAGAGAATTTAAGTACCTTTCTAAAACATTATTATATTTGTTTTATATTGAATTTGATCTTATTACTGAATCTTATGACCTTACTGTCACATTATTACTACTGGATCTATGTCGAAATCCTGACAATCGAATGCTGGACATTCGAAATCTCGACAATCATAATCCCGACACCAAAAATCCCGAAATTTGAAATTTATGGAATTATTTTTGCAAATCTTGAAGAACAATTAATTACCTATTATATAAGTTTTAACGAAGCTACAAAGTTATTATAACGTTTTATACCTTCGTTAAATTAAAACTAGTTAATTAAGATGAGAGAGAAAGGATTTCCAAAATCCGCTGAAATGTTCGGGATTTTGATACTGTCGAGATTATCAGTGTCAAAAATTATCACTTTATATTATTATTTAAATTGACATATAAAAATACATGAAATAAAATAACAATTCTATGAATCATTCGGTAACCTTGCAACGGATTCCAAAGAAATTTTGAATGTGTTTAGATGAGAATCTATGATTATCGTACTGAAATTATGAAAACTATTACTTATTAGATAGATGGAATTTCTGGTATCTTTTATATCAAAAAAAAGTACAAAATTTGATTACCTATATGTTCTTATTAATGCACTTTTTTCAATGGAAAACTATATCAAATAATCTGTTATATTTACTTATATAAATTAATGGAACTTCAAGCATCTTTTACTATACAAAAACAAATACAAATTTGTTTATTGAATCTTAGTTAAAAGCTACATAACAAATTTAATCTTGCTTTTTAATTGAACATTTTTAGTAGTAAACTATAAAATCGAAAATTGAATCTTCAAAAAAAACAAGTAAATGGAATAAAATGGTTATTTATGAATCATACTTAAAATTTGAAGACTTTAAACACTATTTTTCAAACATTCTTTACGTTATTTTCACGAAATCGAAAGTATAAAATAGTATTGAAATTAATTCTTCATACATATTATTACTGTTATATTTTCTTAATATTTGTTTTTAATTGATAAATAGAAAATTTTATGTTTTCAAAGAAATTAAAAGTAACAAAATAGTATTTTTTATGAATCTTTCCAATATTTGATGACTTTACCTATCTTTTGATACCTGAAAGTGAAGACTTTAGTGAAGTTGAAGATTGAAATTATTAATGAATCTGAGGACTTTACTATCACAATATCATCACTTTATATTGTTTTTGTTCAATGGACAAATAGAAATAAATGAAATAAAAAAGTATTTTTATGCAACATTTCACTAATTAAGACATTACCTATCTTTTGATAGTTGAAAGTAATGATTTAGCACAATATTCTTTACGTTGAGTTTGACATTATTAATAAATCTAAAGACCTCACTACTTTATATTGTTTTTGATGAAATAAAATAAAATGAAATAAAATAGTATTTTTATGTAACATTTCACTAATTAAGGCTTTACCTATGTTTTATAGTTGGAAGTAATGATTTAGCACAATTATTACAATGTTCTTTAAGTTGAATTTGAAATTATTAATGAATATTACTTTATATTGTTATTACTACTTTATATTGTTTTTTTTTTAAATGGACAAATAGAAATAAATGGAATAAAATAGTATTTTTATGAATCTTTCCAATATTTAATGACTTTACCATCATTTGATACCTGAAAGTGAAGACTTTAGAACTATTATTACAACATTCTTTACGTTGAGTTTGACATTATTAATCAATCTAAGGACCTTATTATCACTACTTTATATTGTTTTTGATGAAATGAAATGAAATAAAATAGTATTTTCATGCAACATTTCACTAATTAGAACTTTACGTATCTTTTGATAGTTGAAAGTAATGCCTTTAATACTATTATTACAACATTCTTTACGTTGAGTTTGACATTATTAATCAATCTAAGGACCTTATTATCACTACTTTATATTGTTTTTGATGAAATGAAATGAAATAAAATAGTATTTTCATGCAACATTTCACTAATTAGGGCTTTACCTATCTTTTGTAGTTGGAAGTAATGATTTAGCACAAATATTACAATGTTCTTTACGTTGAGTTTGAAATTATTAATGAATATTACTATCAGATTATTACTACTTTATATTGTTTTTTAAATGGACAAATAGAAATAAATGGAATAAAATAGTATTTTTTATGCAACATTTCAGTAATTAAGACTTTACCTATCTTTTGATAGTTGAAAGTAATGATTTAGCATAATGATTACAATATTCTTTACGTTGAGTTTAACATTATTAAAGAATCTAAAGACCTCACTACTTTATATTGTTTTTGATGAAATGAAATTAAATAAAATAGTATTTTTATATAACATTTCACTAATTAGGGCTTTACCTATCTTTTGTAGTTGGAAGTAATGATTTAGCACAATTATTACAATGTTCTTTAAGTTGAGTTTGAAATTATTAATAAATCTTAGAATCTTACTATCAGATTATCACTACTTTATATTGTTTGTTTCTAAATGGACAAATAGAAATAAATGGAATAAAACAGTATTTTTATGCAACATTCAATAGAACTTTGTCTATCTTTTGATAGTTGAAAGTAATGATTTTAATACTGTTATTACAATATTCTTTAGGTTGAATTTGACATTATTAATGAATCTAAGGACCTCACTACTTCATATTATTTTTGATGAAATAAAATAGTATTTTTATGTAACATTTCATTAATTAGGGCTTTACCTATCTTTTGTAGTTGGAAGTAATGTTTTAGCACAATGATTACAATATTCTTTACGTTGAGTTTGACATTATTAATGAATCTAAGGACCTCAATACTTTATATTCTTTTTGATGAAATGAAATAAAATAGTATTTTTATGTATCATTTCACATTTAGCAAAAATATTACAATGTTCTTTAAGTTGAGTTTGAAATTATTAATGAATCTGAGTATCTTACTATCAGATTATCATTACTTTATATTGTTTGTTTTCAAATGGACAAATAGAAATAAATGGAATAAAACAGTATTTTTATGCAACATTCAATAGTTGATAGTGGAAAGTAATGATTTTAATACTATTATTACAATATTCTTTACGTTGAGTTTCAATCTGAGGATGTTACTATCAAATTATTACAACTTTATATTGTTTTTTAAATGGTCATTCATGAATCATTCTAGTGTTTGAGGACCTTGCCTCATGGGCAACCGATTCCGAAGGCATTTCGAATGTGATTAGAAGAGAGAGTATATGGACGAGGTGAAAAGACCTCGCCGCTGCTGCTGCTGCCTGCTTCTTCTACTACTACTACTATTACTACTACAGCACTCTACCGCTTCTGCTCCGGCTCCGACTGGCCCAAAGCATTAGAAATGCGACGAGAGCGAGAGAGGAGAGAACTATTTTATATTTACGACTCGCACGCACACACTGCCTAAGCGCTCCTCCTATATATCCATACGTACACACTCACACTCACATGGATGGATACGGACGGGCTTAGGGAACATATACATATATATACACACACTCACACAGAGACACGCATCAGCCTCTAAACAAAGAGTTTCGCTTGGCTACAGCCTTGTATTCGTGAACGGTCGCCGCCATTCGCGCTTAGAAAGGCTAGTCCGTCGCCAAAGCTAAGCGCGAATATCGCGCATCTTGTGCTTAGTTTAGTCCGTTGTGACTATATGAATGGTGCGCACGCCCGTTCACGCGTACCGCGAACTTCTGAATTTCTACCGTTATACCACGAACGTACACCTCTCTGCATCCAGGATTTTCTTATTAAAAGGATATTTTCATTCTCGTTTGAAAAATCTACAAGTTTCTAATTATAAGTGAATAAACTTTGGGTTTATCATTTTTCGATTCAGTTCAGTTTTCTCAGTTCAGAAACATGTGCGCGTCTCGCTCCTAATCAACATTCTTAAAATACAAAAAAAAGTGATCAACTTTTGGTGCGCTTCTCTGGATTATTCTTAATACGATTCGGATTATTCTGTGTGTCTTAAAGTGCTCTTGTTCAGTGGATTCTTGTACTTTCTTCTCACCTGTGGAGGAAGAGACAAGTTAAATATTATCTGGATTATTTACACTACCTCTCTCTGGAATTACACACACTTTTTTTTATATTCTCCTACACACAATTTTGGTTTGAAAACGAATGGAACAAAGGTTTGTTTATAAAATTTATTTAAAAAAAAAACTACAATAATAATAAGTTATTTAGTACTAAAACTAAAGATTTATTAAAGCTAATTCAATTATAAACGTTTTGAGTTGATAATAGTTGATGGACGACGAATTTTGATAACTTTTAAATAAAAAAAAAAAACCTACAATTAAATATTTGAACAAAAAATAAATTTATAGAAAATTCTCTTGTTTTATTATGTTTTACTTTGAATAAATTTCCACGAATCAAAGTTTTTATAAACTTTTATAAACGCATTTAAATATTAACTAATTTATTAAGTTTATTTTAATAAAAAAATTTGATTTTTAACAAAATAATTTTCAAAACTTAATAAAATAACTTTGACCAAATTTGCTATAAATAAAACAAAAACTATTTAGATAAAAGTTTTTTTTATTAGATCATTGTTAAAAGCCAAACACTTTAACTAATTTACAATTAAGCTAAATAATTCAATATATTTACAGTTTGAAAATGATACAAAAATAATTGAAATTTTCTATTTTACTTTGATAATAATAAACTTTGAGTTGTTTAAAACCGAACATTTGTTATAATTTGATGAATCAATCATTTCTCCAGTCTAGATTAGCACATTTACTAATGGTTGACCATTACATTTCTAAGCAATGATTAAGTTAAGTAACCTTTAAAACCGAAAAGTAATTTGAAATGCAAATCGGATCGAAGAGTGTTACATTTATTTATTTTCACTTAAGTAAGTTTCAAGATGCGTGTGGCAGCGAACATTAAAACCCACAACTTAATTTACATGTTACTCTCAATATGAATTAAATTTATAACAAGTTTTAATTGTACTTTTTTCATTGAAAAATACACTAATTTCCTTATTTACTCATGCAATTAGAAGTAAATTTAGTAAACTTAAAAAAAAAATTGGTAACATTACATAAAAATATTTATATAAAAAATTAACATCAACAAACAAATAATATTTTATCAATGTTATAAGATTTGGGATAGTTTTTGTTTGTATAGTGGAAAAGTGTAAATCTTCCATGACAAATTGCGAAAGTATGCGTGGAATTAATTGCACAAATCATGCCACAAGTCAATTATTAATTTCTGTTACATTAAATCAAATTACAGGGATAATAATTTACATTATTCATTATATAAATAAATAATGAAGCAATAAGTAATCATTAAATTGAATAAAATTGCTTTGTACATAAACGACTTGTATAATTTTACAAGTAAATAATAACTGTTTTTATACTTTTGATATAAATAAGAAATATTTTTGAAAAAAAATAGAAGATGTTTTATTGATGCGTTAAGTTGTAATACAAACAATCCACACACACAAATATTCACTTGAAGTTGTTTCTTTGTCTTTTTTTTTGTATAATTGTCGTGTCCTTGTTTTTGGGAATTCAATGGAAGAAGTACGAAGTTTAATAAAACTAAATGTATAACTAACAACAACAAACAGAACACCTAAACGATATTCAAGGAAAAAATAATAAAAATTTCGTACTTAGCGACGAGATGTTGTCGGTGAGAGAAAGAAAGAAAGAGAACGTAACTCAAGGATCAAGTAATTTAAGAGTACGTTTTTTTTTTGTTTTAAATTAGAATCAAGTCGGCCGATTAAATTGCATTTAATTTAAAGGACGAAACAATATTTATTGATTCTATTTGTTGCGTTTTTTCTTTTTAAGAAATTGAATTGATTCTTCCTTTTTTTATTATCCTTGGAGTAGCTTTTTCATTAAAAATACTTCAAGCTTTGTGACGTTTGTGTACAGATGATAATTTTTCTGTTGCTAGGCAACGTAATCAATTTTCGGTATTAGACGTTGCCAAGGGTTTTACTGCGTAATGGGAAAGAAAGTTTTTTTGTTTTGTTTTTATTTACTTCACACAAAGTGTGTATGCAAAGAATAAATAAGAAAAAACTGAAGAAAACTTGATGTTTTCTTAATGAAATTCGCGTACAACGAGTAAATGGTAAACGTGGCATTCAAATGCGATAAATAAACAGTTTTCGTTTGGCGATTTGTGCAAGAATAAACATTAAAAAAAAATGAATTTAGCATCTAGCTAAACGATGTTTCCAGTTGGATGTTGATGTTGTGAAGAAGGAGAAGGAGTAAACAGAACGCTTTGTGCGTATGTGAAAAAAAAAGTCCATTAGCGAATCCACGCGTCGTCCATTGTCAATGCCATTATTTTCGTACCTTCTCGAATTTCGAAGTACAAAATAAAAACATGTGCGTTGTTGAAACGCAATGACCTTATGCACCAACCGTAATGGAAATTATGAAAATTTCACGTTTCTTTTTTTAATTTATCAACTGAATTTTCTGTATTTAAATCAACAGGATTCGTATCATCATCAAAACAAGTCAAATTATCAAGTAAGAATCACAAGAAAGTATTCGTTTTATGTAGAAAATCGTATTAGACATGTGTTTTATTATACAGATTTTTCTTTCTCATGTTATTTATTACATTAATAACTTAACATTTAGTTTTAACATAGGTTTAATAGTGTTAATTAAATCTAATTTCAAATGAAACTTTAATATCACAATAATGTATATAATGGAAATTCATGTTTTTTTACCACTGAATTTTCTTTATTTTAAAAAATTGAAACAAGACAAATTATCAATTGTAAATGATAAAAAAAGTGTTTGTTTCTTGTATAAAATCGTATTAGAAACAATATTTTGAATGTGTTTTAATTTACAGATGTTTTATTACTAAGCAGTTATCAAGTTTCGTTTAGAAAATATTCAGATTTTGGATAAATTCAACAAAATATTCTAGTAAATTCAATATTTTACACTTAAAAACCTAATTTCAAATGAATCTTCAATATCACAATAATAATATAATAGAAATTCATGTATTTTATCCCATTTAAACAAGACATATTATTAACTTTATCAATTGTAAATGATGAAAAAATATTCGTTTCATGCAAGAAAATCATATTAGAAACAATATTTTGAATGTGTTTTAATATACAGATTTTTTTATTTCTAAGTAATTATCAAGTTTAATTTTGAAAATATTGAAAAATGGATAAATATAATATAATAGGTTATATCAAATTTAACATTTTACACTCAAGAACATAATTTCAAATGTATTTTCAATATCACAATAATAATATAATGGAATTAATGAAACTTCATGTATTTTTTTCCCACTGAATTTTCTTTATTCAAAAAATTGAAACAAGGCAAATTGTCAACTTTCTCAACTGTAAATCATGAAAAAGTATTCGTTTTATGCAACAAATCGTATTATAAATAATATTTTGAATGTGATTGATATACAGATTTTTATTACTAAGCAGAACTCAAGTTTCATTTAGAACGTATACGAAAGATTGATAAATTCAACATAATTTAACATTTAACACTTTTATACCTAAATTTCAAATAAAACTTCAATATCACAATAATTATATAATGGAAATTCATGTATTTTTCGCACTAAATTGAAACAATTTGAAACAAAACAAACTATCAACTTTAAATGATGAAAAAGTGTTCGTTTCTTGATATAAAATCGAATTAGAAACAATATTTTGAATGTGTTTTAATTTACAGATGTTTTATTACTAAGCAGTTATCAAGTTTCGTTTAGAAAATATTCAAAATTTGGATAAATTTAACACTTTTAAACGAAATTTCAAATGAATCTTCAATATGACAATAATAATATAAAGGAAATACATATTATTATTTTCAACTGTATTTTCTTTATTTAAAAAATTGAAACAAAACAAATTACTGAAAATATTGAAAAAGTATTCGTTTCATGCATAAAATCGTATTAGAAACTATATTTTGAATGTGTTTTAATATACAGATTTTTATTACTAAGCAGTTCTCAAGTTTAATTTAGAACATATTGGTAAGGTGGATAAATTCTACATAATAAGTTATAATAACTTTAACATTTTGTACTAGAAACATATTATCAAATGAATCTTCAATATCACAATAATATTATAATGGAAATTATGAAAATTCATATATTTTTTCCTCATTGAATTTTCTTTATTTTAAAAGTTGAATCTATTTGAAACAAGACAAATTTTCAACTGTAAATGATGAAAAAGTAGAAAATCTTATTAAAAATGATATTTTGAATGTGTTTTAATATATAGATTTTTCTTACTAAGCAGTTATCAAGTTTCGTTCAGAAAATATTCAGAATTTGGATAAATTCACGATAATAATTTATAATAAATTTAACAATTTCAACTGAATCTTCAATATCACAATAATAATAATATAAAAAAAAATTCAAGAAATTGTGAAAATTCATGATTTTTTTTTCAGCCCTGAATTTTCTTTCTTTAAAATAAATTGAAACAAGACAAATTATCAACTTTATCATCTGTGAATGATGAAAACAATAAATCCTATTTTAAATTTTGATTTAATGCAGCAATAATACTCTAAAGATAAAAAAAAACATGAAATTATGAAAATTCATGTTTTTCCTGCATTTTCTGTAAGTAATTGTTTTTAATTACTTGATAAAAGCAATTTAGAAGATGATTCTTCGATACAAAATCAGATTATTAGATAAAAACGATGAGAAATATACATTAGAAATAATATTTCGAATGTGCTTCAGTTTTTCTTACTAAGTTTCAGCAGAAGATATTCACAATTTTGTTAACTTCGTCATCATTTTTCATAATAAATTTGAAGCTTTGAAATTTCAAGCTTGAATTGAAATTTATGTTTTTCCCATTTTCTTTATTTAAAAATTAAAGAATTCTTTTACACTTAAATCAAATAACAAAATTAAATTGAATTTTTTTGCTTTATTAAAATTTAAACTTCAACTGTGTTAAACCTGGCATATAAAGACAGAGATTGCATTTTTTTAAACGACTTTAAACATAAACAGAACGAAAAGTAACATAAAGTTTATTTTAAATTTAAGTGAACAAATATTATTACAATTAACGATTTAAGAA